ACTCAAACCAAAAAAAAGTAATTTTCTGTTTTGTTTTATTCTTGGATCAGGCTTTAAAGGGTTAAAACTGACCATCTTCAAAAAAAGATAAACTATTTCTGTCTCTGACTCTTAAACATGCGTCACATTTGGTCTGATGACATATAAAAACCTTATTTTCCAGGTCTGTCTGCTGCTGTACAGAAGTTTTCCCAGTCCCTGCAGGAGTTCCAGTTCGAATGTATCGGCGATGCAGAAACAGACGACGAGGTGAACATCGGTAAGTTCTGCTCAGGAGGAGGCATTTCATCCTCCTTTGTTCTCCGCGTGAACTAAAACAACTGGTGGAATTTGGGGATAAAAGAGATGGCCGTCATAATCAAATGTTCAAAGTCATTAATTAAAAAAAGAGTCAGAAGCGAGTGTCTTTGATTAAAGGGGACATATTATGCAAAACCAAGTTTTTGATAATCTGATTATGTACATTTGGGACTGTGGAGGGCCTATCAGCAGGAAAAGTGTGAAAAAAAAGACTCAGTCATGTTTTTGTGGGCCGCCTCAGTCTGAATCCAGGAGATAAATCAGGAGGTTTCAGGAGTGGGTAGTTTCTGACGTCATTAGCTCTAGCTCATTATAATATTATTATTATTATAATATTAATACTATTATATATTATCTAGCTCATTATAATATTCCAGCCTTTCACCTGCATGTTGCCCCCCCCTCAGCTCACTCCCCTATCTGTGGAGACGTCCTGGTAGCGTGAGCTTTAGCATGGTAGCGTTAGCATGGTAGCGTTAACATGGTAGCGTTAGCGTGGTAGCGTTAGCGTGGTAGCGTTAGCATGGTAGCATAAGCATGGTAGCGTTGGCATGGTAGCGTTAGCGTGGTAGCGTTAGCGTGGTAGCGTAAGCGTGGTAGCGTTAGCGTGGTAGCGTAAGCGTGGTAGCGTTAGCATGGTAGCGTGAGCGTTAACGTGGTAGCGTTAGCGTGGTAGCGTTAGCATGGTAGCGTTAACATGGTAGCGTTAACATGGTAGCGTTAGCGTGGTAGCGTTAGCATGGTAGCATAAGCATGGTAGCATAAGCGTGGTAGCGTTGGCGTGGTAGCGTTGGCGTGGTAGCGTTAGCATGGTAGCGTTAGCATGGTAGCGTTAGCGTGCCGACGTGGGCACACCTCCCTGAAGAAGTGGGCGGATTGCCTGTCTCTCATTTGCATTTAAAGAGACAGGCACTCCAAACTGACATTAAACAGACATTACATTAGGACACCAGGGAACTAGGTTAACTTGTCTAAATAGGGTATAATA